ACTGCTTGATGTTTAAATCTAAAGCAAATATAACTAGAAAAAATTCCACGCGGACCAGGCAGCAGACGGGACTCGAAGTCGCACCCTTTGCTATCCGGGCGAATGCACTGAACAATTATGCTACCGCGGCCCTGACGGCCGCGTCGAAATTCTTCTAGCCATTCTCAAGCTGCAGGGCAGCGCCATCTCTTCGCATTATAGGTAACCCACAATGGCGTGTTAAGTTTATTTTTAAAATTTATTATGTAATATGTATTGTTTATCAAGAAAAATCCTTAAGACTTGATTAAAAATCATAGTTGAAATATCATATATTTATTTAGGAAAAAAGTTTTAAAATTATATAAATAATAGTAATTAATTCAATAAATACTGCATTAAGCATTTACTGATTAATATTTTAATAATATGACTATGTCAGTAAGTACAAATGGTTTCTAGCATTTGAAAATAGTTTTTAATTTGAAAGTTTAAAAAATTGTGTTTTTTCTAAAGAGGCTTATTTGATTATTGATGCGCAATTATGCCATATAAATAATAAATGATTGAATAATGTAAACTGCCGTTTATTCTAAATACAGCATTCATCTGGCACGTTTAAAACAGTCCCCAGATGCCCTAAACAGTCCCCTGTATCATGATTATTTGGAAAATGGCTAATAACTCGCAAAATACGTATAAATTCCTCTTTATCTAACTAAAATAATTGCTGATTTCCTTCGAAACATAACACGATTTTTATGCAAATGTTAAAAAAATTGCTAGGACAGCATTTCTATGGGACCTTACAGAAAAACACCCATCTGTTTTTGATATAACTGCCAGCCGTAGGCACTACACAAGCAAAGACGCCATAATGCTGCAGACGTTACAGTACCTACGTATGGTATGTAAGGAGGAAATTCCCATCGGGACTATTCATGACGTAGTGGTGAAGTCTAATGTTTCCTTTATGAATGTCTCATTTGGGTTTTAAAGTGTTCCCACTATGCTTTGGTTTAAATCAGGTAGGTTCTGCACTTACATACTCAATAACCTCATAGTAGGTATTCATGGAATGGGTTTTGATATGAATTATTAAAATAAAACTTTATTACAATATCGCCACATTTGTTTCGTTGATTTTTAAGCATGGCGTATTATATTTTTAATTGTTAATAAAAAAATCAGACCTTATCAACAAGCACCGCACATATAGGTTTAATTTTAACATACTTACATAGTAAAGACGCAAGTAAATTGTATTGCAAGTTAAATAAAAGCAAAAAAAGGACTTTTGGCACCAATATAATTTAACATGATGTTTACCAAAAATTTAAACTTTTAGAAATATAATCAAATTTTATACTTAGTTTAATTTTAAATCTTTATCGTGGATTAATTATTATTATCCAAACTATCTTTACTAATATTATAAAGAGGCAAGAGTAGTATGTTTGTAACAAATAATCTTTAAACTACTGAACCGATTTCGAATAGGTATTCATTCACCATAAGACAGCTACATTATTTATTATTATATTTTCAAGCGTTAATATCAGTATCGTTGAATAATCTGCTCGATTTATAAACCTAAAGAAAACTTTCACTTGAAAAAAATCCACTCTGACAACTTTTCCGAGAGGAATTTTTTCTACTAAAACTTTTCTTTGTACATTATATCCAAGTGACATAAGCTATGTTTTATCCTGTTTAAATAAATTTCGCCCGTGCCATGCTGGGCGGAATACTAGTATATTATAATATTATAGATATGCGAAAGTGAATTTGTTTGTTACACTTCCGCGCCCCAATAGTGCGATTATGATAAATTTCCCTATAGAAATAGATGGGACCTTGGTTCTAAGTTACATTATCGAAATACTTATAGGGGTAATGGAAGGGGTGATTTATCTATATTTATTTATATTTTTTGCTTAAAATTTTGCAGAATTATCGTTTGTTATTACAAAACCAACATTATCGCGAGCTGATTAATAAATACAGAAAGTCGAGTATTTACCTACTAGCAATAATAATAGGTTATTTCTCATTATGTTAAGTAACCTCTTAGTAACATGAAGTAATATCGTTAAAATAAACTTTAAAATCAGTATTTTTCTGAGTTTTTCATTAATTTTCAATAATTATAAATACCTATTAAAATTATTTATTTTCATCATTTATTAAGAAGGAACTGTATCACAGTTTTATTGTAAGTACTTCGTATAGGATTAGATACCGCGAGTAGCCATTTTTTATTCTTTTCCTCCTAGGTTCTATCTACGTTTATAAACACCAAAATACATCATCTTCTCCAACCACTCCCGCAGTCTTCTCCTGCATAGTACACCGCGCTCTCATTTTGTCATCGCCGTAACTTTTTAAATATTTGTCGAAATGACATAGTGTACAGGGCAAAGTTTATTGTCTTTAAATATCAAAGCAATATAAGTATTTGTTTTGATAAGATATAATTTATTAATACAAAATGTGCATTTTGGAAATGGATCTCAACTAATATTTTATTTTTGATTCACTATTTTAGCGATAATGGCTTACATTTAAAATAGACATATGTTGTCGCGGACTTTTTTGTAGAATGATTCATGAAACACATTTACTCAATACATTATATTCATGTAACTTTTATTGTTTTGGCAGTGCAAACCCAAAATGGCTCGCAGATGGGAGTTTTTTTTTCGTCTTACGTGACACTTATTTTTACATTTTGGCCAATTCACTCAATAATTACATAAATTATTATCTATATGTTATTAATATGTATGAGCTATATTACTGCTAAGTTTCATTAAAATCCAATTAGTATTTTTTGAGTGAAAGAGTAACAAAGATCCATACAAACGTTAGATTGAAATTAAAAGTGGTTGGTATGCAACTTTAAATCGTTGTAGATCTTAAACAGTTAGATGAAATAAGAAATGGTGTAAAGAACCCAAATATGATTTTCGATTATCTAGACAATGATACCCCCCTCGACATATTTCGTCATCTCATTTTTTTTACTTTGTCACAATATGGCGCCTAATTATTCTTTTATTGAATGTTGATTACTATCATATCTTTAATAGCACTCCCTGATGGGAGTGATCCATCTTAATGATTTAAGACGAATAGATTGGTGTATGACTCATCAAAATCGGTCTACGCGTTTGGTCTCTACTGTGCCACAAAGGAACATACATACATATATAGACTGATAAACACTATACCCTGTCTGCGCGTCGCGCATCGCGCTCTTGCATTGCGCAGTCGGGTAAAAAAGATGCGTGTGTACACTCAAAAAATCACCATAGGACACAATACTCCATACAGAATATTAAAAATATAAAAAATAATTTTCCTACGCTCTGGTATGATGTTATTTGTTTGCAATTTTATCTTAGCATAAACTTTTCTTCGGAGACAAGCTTAACAATTCAAGCGGCTAATCCACTATGACCTTCCTCTGCTACGAATGTTAAATAAAATACCTGCTGAATCATTAAGAAAGTATGTACGTAATGTATCAAATCAGATGGTAGCAAAATATTGAGTATCATTTCATTACTAGTCCTCTATAACAAGGATAAAATAGTTCTTTCAAGTGCCTCTTGATTGACATAGATTGACAATAATTACATTGAGAAATTTCTCAACATGTTACTAACCCAGAATGCAGTAAATTTATTAGGTAAACACTGGCCAAGTGTGAGTCGGATTTGCGCAGGAATCTGCCAAAAAGCCATTATACTGTAAACTTCTTATAGGTTTTCCTGTAATCTATAAGCAAAGAGCTGCATTCCATTTTTTTTAATTCTTAGTTTCGGAAATAACAGTTAGGTCAATTTATCTATTTTCTTAAAAAAAAATGGTAGAAAATATATGTTTGAAACTTTCATATTGAGCCCCTTATTTGCTGGCTTATTAATAAATATAATTTTTGAGAGTATTCTTCGAAACATATTTGAATATGAGCGTTTCTACTTTAACGTAGGTGTGTAAGGCTTTCATACACCTTTAGTTCGCGCTACCTGTGAAAGGGCCCCACTTTCGAGCTAGTAAACACGCAGTATGCGTATCTTAACTACGAAGTAAGACTAGAAATTCTCAAAATTTCAGCTTTGCTAAAATGACATAGGTCTGGGGGCTCTGAGATCGTGAGATCTCATAGTTCGATCATAGTTCGTTAGATCTCTATTAGTTTATCTAAGCCAAGTTTCAAAGCTGTCAAGCTAGCCAAACTCGCTTTCCACCACCACCCAATTCACGATGGAATATTCCAAAATCCTATAATATAATAACGCTTGTCAAACATTTACGTGTTTGGAGCTTGCTTGATGAAATTTTCACACCGTGAATGACAAAAATACATGTAACGTCATTCCTGAAATCTTATTATGTTTGGCTTCTTTGTGTTTCGGAAGGCACGTCCAGCGGTTGCATCTGCAGTCGAACAACCACCGCATTAGGCCCGATTGGTGGGTCATCACCCAATTCTCCTGTTCCATCCGTAGGAAAGGCATGTGCCCCAGCAGTAAGAACATTAATTTATATCAATCACGCCATCAAAATAATATAATAAAATATTTGTAAAATATTATTTTGGTGGTGGGGAGGTTTTTTTTGATTTCCTATCCTATCGCTGAATAGGTCTTTTATTTTAATAATTACTAAATACGTTTGTTTATACTATCGAGAAAAGTCAAAACTAAATAGATTTCGAAACAAAACAATAGCAAATGCTGCAACACAATTGAACTTGAAAATTATCAGTGAAGTCTCTCTCTCAGCTCTCTCCGTCCACGGTGCTATCAACTATGACAAAAATCTGAATCCGGCGTAATCCCCACGCCGTAAACTAAATCTCTCCCCGCTAAACATCATACACAATGCGTCAACTACTAACACGCGTCGTCAATAACCTTACAAATTATCCTTTACAACTTAATGCGAGCGACGCGACGCGTACTCGTTGTCACTCAAATATCGGAACTTGCCGTATAAAAAAAGGATGTTAGCGCGGGCTTCGTATGAATCGCGTGCGCGCGCGCAACCTGGAAAAATCATTCGATCGAACCGACCGCTCGAGTCGAGACAACCTATCGGGAAGTGTCATCCATCATGGAGGTGTAGCCTTGCTTTTTTCTCGCTCGCGATTTTCTTCTCAAGTGCCAGTGACTCGATGCGACGAGATGTGTTATATTACCCGCGCCATTCGAATTGACAACTGTTCGAATTCAAAAATGTTGAAACCGTTAAAATTCAGCATGTGGACACTATGGATTTTTTAGTGATACGTGATCCTATATTGTTTTTACTTTTTTTTATACTTTTTAAATTATTGACTGGACTGTGATAAGAAGTGATTGAAAAAGCTAGTCAAGATGATGTCCAAAAAGCAGCTGGCGTGCATGCTAGCATTGCACATAGTATATCTTTTGGTCGGCGCCAGCATATTCTACCATATAGAGAGTCCTTTGGAGTTGGCACAGAGAGCCGAAGAAAAACTGGAAAGACTTGAAATACAAAGTAAGTCATTACCATCCATTAGGTATTCCTATTCGCAATGCAACACGGCCTTTGAATTGATACTTAGAAGACATCGTTAGGTTCACACGTTAATATGTATAATAAAGTAAATGCTACTGTTAGTGAACGACTTGATATAAACCTAGTTCGTAATAATTTAGGTTTAAAAAGAAAATTTACTAAAATCCACGATATGATTCAATGTTGTTTTAATCAGCCTGTCGATCAACCTATGGGATATTATCATCCAAATATTTTTTAATAAAAAAACTTATCTACAAGTTCTTCAAGAATTTTTAATGATATTTTTATTTACTTTAAAATAATGTTAAATTTATGTATTACTATCCTACCTCCATTCTACAGACGTCCTGCTCGATAAAGTTATACAAAATTAAGCCGAAAACCGACTGGAGCTCTGCTTATCGGGTAGAGGTGTAATTTAATTATCTTAAAAATTTTGCTTTTCCACATATAATGTGTTAGAAAACTTAAAAAAAAATATTAATGAAATGGGTAAAGTCGTAGTTAAGTCAAAGCGTGACCAACGGCAATGGGATTCATTTATACACCGTGAATTTTTAAGTTACCTGAAAAATTATCAGCGAATTCAGACAATGATTTAGGTTATATTTCTGCAAATAAAAAAATCTGTAATATTTTTTTTCCAAAAAATTTCATCACGTTATCTCTATAAGTGTGCAATTATGAAACTCTAACAACTTTAGTTGTCATAAATTAATTAAAATAAAACTATTTTTAGTATCTGCGTACTTGAAACGGATAATAATTCCTTAAAGGTCTGTTAATTCATGGCTCCGTATATGGGATATATTGTAACGATATAAATATATTATATTTATGATTTTATTTATTTTTTAAGCATTTAACTGCTAGATGTTTAAATCTAAAGAAAAGTTTACTAGAAAAAATCCACGCGGACCAGGCAGCGGACGGGACTCGGGATGCGGGTTCGAGTCCCGTCCGCTGCCTGGTTCGCGTGGATTTTTTTCTAGTAAACTTTCTTTAAATATATTATATTTTTGTATGGCTTTGGGGTGTAGTTCATTTACTATTTATAACTGTTATCACAATTTTTAACCATACGATTTATAAGTTTCTCAGCCCCTCTAGCATGACCACCGAAACGGAATATGATAAAGCGACATATCGGCATTAACTGTCAGACTACTGTCAAACTCCACTCTGACAGTTAATACCGTTATATCTTATATCGCGATATATCCCGTTCCGACGGTCATGCTAGAGGGACAGGAATCTCAAAATTGTATATGTATACACCCGACCGCAAAGAAACGGGATCACCCAATGGTACGTGTGCCTTGGAAGTCTGATATAATTTTCTCAAAAAGTATTAAACTTTTAGGTAGAATTTGTGCGGAAAGATAATGGGATTTAGATTGGACGGCGCTGTCGTGCTTTTCTACCGTATTTGTAAGGTTTTACCCATTTTAGACACGATTAAATACAAAAAACTGCAAAAAATCACAACAACAAATAAATCCGTATCAATACAAAACTTTGACGTTTTACAGATTGCTGGGTTTGATTGCCAAATAAAAATCTTAATGTTAGTTCCGTTTTTCGCCACGCCCATTCTCTTTCCGCACAGACTCTATCAAACAATACAACTATCACAGTTATACCTACAGAAAGTTTCGTTTCATAATGATTAAAATTAGTAATATTTTATTCTAAAGTACTGCCAACTTACTGTGTAATCAAGCAAGACATACAATGCTAACGATTTGCTAATTTTTAGGCAAAGTTGCAATTAACTTTCTTTTTTTATATAATGAAAGATATTGTGATACTTCTTATCGTTTCTTTAGTATTTGCCCATAGATTTCTCAGACATGTGTTTTCTTTACTTTTTTTTACTACCGATTTACAGTTGGAAAACGACTGTTCTTTGGAAAAATTTTAGAATAATCTTGAAAAATTTATTAATCTCAATAAATTCCTGTTTATTTTAATCATCATGAAACGCAATTTCTGTAGGTATAACTGTGATAGTTGTAAGTTACATACTTAAAAAAACTCAAATAAGAATTCCGAGATAGCAAGTGACCCGATTTATTTGCTGTCCACTGTATGTTAACTTGCGTGTTATATAAAAGGATAACAATAATAAAAATATTTTAAAGGTTCACCTTTAAAACTCCGAAAAGATTTTATTTTATGATTTTTTACACAAAAAAAATATTTAAATGGTACGAGTATATAAATACTCTTGGTCGTAAACATGTGACCAGAGTTCTAATCAGATGAATAAGTATAGCGTTGACACAGAATGTAAGTATTTAGTTATTTATTTGCAATATACACCTTCATACTAGTAAACATCTCGACATGAGATAATATCAAGTTGAGAATAGCCCATTAATATCACTCAAGCTATTTACTAATAATTCATAAGTAGCGCGTCAGTAAACCGATTGAAAGGGACTAAAATGAAGAATGATACTTTTAAAGAAAATATAACTAGAAAAAATTACACGTGGACCAGGCAGCAGACGGGACTCGAACCCGCACCCTTCGCTATCCAGGCGAATGCACTGACCAATTATGCTACCGCGGCCCTGATGGCTGCGTCGAAATTCCTCTAGCCATTCTTAAGCTGTAGGGCAGCGCCATTTCTTCGCATTGTAGGTAACCCACAATGTCAAATGAATACTTTTACAAGTATTAAACATTGAAAGAAGAAATAGCAATTACAGTTATAATTTTTATTTTTTAAGCAAGCTTGATGTTCAAATCTAAAGAAAATATAACTGGTTTTTTTTTGTTCGAGTCCCGTCTGCTGCCTGGTCCGCGTGGAATTTTTTCTAGTTATATTTTCTTTAGATTTGAACATCAAGCAGTTACATGCTTTAAAAAATATAACGATAATTTTGTTATGAAAGGAAGGAACGTATGTTTTGATTACTACACATTATGGGGCTTTTAAAATTTTGGTAAATCGATAGCAATTCAGACTAATAGAGTTGTTACCAAAACATATTGCGACTGTGTATACATAGGTATAGTAATTAGAAAATAATGTAGGTATCTACTTCATGTTAAAGAATTGTAGACTATACTACACTACATCATCATCATCATCGTCAGCCTATTAATGTCCCCACTGCTGGGGCACAAGCCTTCCCTATGGATGGAATAGGGAGATTGGGCCATGACCCACCACGCGGGCCACTGCGGATTGGCGGGTGCTAACGACTGCAGATGCAGCCGGGACCAACGGCTTAACGTGCCTTCCGAAGCACGGAAGAGCTCGAGATAGAAATTTTACACTACATACTACAGCAATAAGATAATACTTTAAAAGATAAGAATAAAAAAGAAGGCCCACTAGCATATAATTAACAAATACGTATTTAGTAGGGATGGAGCAGAGCAGATTCTCTGTTTCATATAGAGAGCTCTTTGTCACACTTATTACATTAAAAAAAATATTACGCTACACTTCATACTGACGACCTCCGTGGTCGAGTGGTTTGTACGCCGGGTTTCATGGTGTCGCCGACTCGATAGGTCCCGGGTTCGAATCCTGGTGGGGCCAGATGTTTGTGTGATGAATACGAGCATTTACCCCAGTCGTGGATGTTTAATATGTCTTTATATAAAAATATACTTATATATGTACGGTATATTTATTCTATCCGTTACCCTAGTATCGCATAACACAAGCCTTATAGTGCTTACTTTGGGGCTAGGCTAATTGGTGTGAGTGTTGGAAATATTTATTTATTATTTACTTAGATAATCATGCCAGAATCGACACCAATGTAATGAAAGGTATAAAGAATAATTACACTGCTTTAGTTACCTATTAAACTGAATATACTGCATCATAAAATTATAATATAGGTTTTCGGGTCGTCGAGTTGACTTCGGGTATTATATTTAAGATCAATGTAAACAACATGGTGCAATAAAGGATTTTAAGTTTGAAGTATTAGCGAATCTTCGCTAATTTCGCAAAATAATAGTTTTTCCGTACAGATTTTTAATCCCTTTTTAATTTCTCGAGGTTTATTTTAGAAAAAAAGTAACTCATGTCCTATTCCAAATTCTCTTTTATCATAATACCAAATTTCTTTGAAAATTCGGTTCAGGGGTTAGACGTGAAAGCGTAACAAACAGTCAGACAAAAAAACTTACAATGAATTTCGCATCCATGCTAGAAACTCCAGGACAGTAAAATTGGCAAGCCAAGATATGTCTCGAAAATCCAAACCATTAAACAATAAAATCCTTGAAATGAATAATAAATACATAATTACAAAAACCTGAATTCACATAATCGTCATTCTAAAATATACACACATCAAATAACTCTTAATAACGTGCATCATTTACTATTGATATTTTATGTGAAATATATAATTCATTGAAAAGATTGTTTGCTTTAGCCACGATTAAATTAAAATTGGTTCGTAATAAGTAACAATGTAAGTATTAAATCGGTTAACAGTTCAAAAGGTTAATGTTGCTTTGACTCTTTTCATGATTGTACAAACTTCCCCTTTATTCTATAAACGACGCTTTAAGTCTCACGTACTAACATGAGGACGTACAGTCATAGAAGGACGGGATATCCCACCGCATTTGTACATACCCAAACCATTCCTCAATGTTCTATCTCGCTATTCCAATCTTAACGACGTTAACTTGACAGCCAGTAGCTCTTCCACTGACAAATTAGTAAATAATAATTATTGTTTAAATTAAATTTAATAACGTCTTCGTTCCCAAAACCATATGTGTTAGTGATACAGTAACTTTCAGTGAGTGCGCCACCCCAGGCGTACATAACAATAGAAGAAAACTTTATGAACTATACAATGAACGCAGCATTAATACTACTGAAAGTTTCAGAGAGTATGTACGTAATTATTCTAAGTTATTTAAAAAGGTATGTCGCACAGCTAAATCAAATTATTTAAGTTGTAAGATTAGTAATGACAAAAACGTTT